AACAATCGGCAGCGGGCGGATGTACATAGGCTAACAAATTATAAGCGCAAAGTGGGATAAACGAACGCAGCGCGAGGGACACGAGTGCAACGTGGGAGACATGAGCGCAACGCGGAAACACAAAGAGAGAGCGAGAATACGCGCACAATGCGAGAGGCTTGAGCTGGAAAGCAGAGTGCAAAGCAAGGGATACAAGGGTAAAGTGCCAAATGAGAGTGTCGAGTGGGATACGAGAGCAAAACACGAGGAACATGAGCGAAAAGTGCAGATTACTCCCTTTCGATAATCCGGCTAACAAATTATTTTATTGACAGGCAATTGAATGGCCTCTCGAACATCCAGAATCGTTTGCACGTCTTGGCCTTAAACGCGCCAGGGGCGTTCTCCTGTATGGCCCTCCGGGATGCTGTAAAACGACCCTAGTGCGTGCGGCAGCCACCTCCTGTAAGTGCACCTTTTTGGCCCTCAGTTGTGCACAGTTGTACTCGCCTTATGTTGGAGACGCGGAGCGCAGAATAAGAGAGGTGAGATGGATATATGCTACAAGCTGACTCTGTATTCATGTGAATCGTTAACATAACTATAGTCCCTACAGAGACCAGACTGATTTACGTGCTGGAAGGTACATGAATGAAGATACGTAAAATAGCTAAATTCACGCAGAGCTAAGTCGAAAACGGGGACCACGTCAATACATTTTCTTTGTTTCTGGCAACCAACCCAGGGATGCTACGTATTCTCAAACCAACTGTGTAATTCATATCTGTTTATCGATTGCTCTTAGCTGTTTATCAAGGCCCGCGCAACAGCTCCGTCCATTTTCTTCCTTGATGAACTGGANCACATACTACATGCATCATCAAGCGTAATGATACCTCAAATTTGAAGTCTAATTCCTGTTTGTTTTTTTCTGAATTGGACTAAAGCAAACAAAAACGATTGCAGCTAATTAAATACGTAATTATTCATTTAAATCTCTAAACAACCGTACTTTAAACTAAATTATGTCATTTAATACAAATAAAGAAAAATCTGGACTCTGTGGTACAAACAAACAAAACAAACAAAAACGATAGCAGCTAATTAAATACGCAATAACTCATTTCAATCTCTAAACAACCGTACTTGTAACTAAATTATGCCATTATAAATACAATGTAGAGCTCTATGCTTTGGGTCTGTGGTACAACAGAACATTTGTTAAGACCGACTCCAGTGCGATGCAGATTCCTACAAAATACAAGAACCACAACTTCTCTGCTGGCAGTTCACCTGATCTGGACCAGTAAACCTGTGGCAGTTAAATCAGTGTTAATTGTTTTCAACAAAACACTTCAGTATTAATTATTATCAACATTAACCACAACGTCGAGGAGAATATTCATATAGCAAATAAATGTGCTTATACGCTGGTAAAAGGTAGAGTTCAATAATTAAAATTGCGAAACACTTGATGAGATAATTATAAAGTTAGAGAGATTGCTCGGCTGTGATGATTCAATTTACATGTAGCAACACGTTATAGGTACATAAGAACCACTCGTCAATAATTTCCGTCGCTGAAAGTCGCTTTGTTTTAAAAAGTGCCCATACTGTACAATGTATTTCAGTTATTGATACTTCTTACAAAGGAATCTTTCTTCTACTTAGAACACTCAGAGCACCAAGTTTAGCCAAGTTTAGAGTTGATCACTGTTTATTTCAATAGCTTTAATCACATGTAGGTAATTATCCGCGGAAACGGGCTTACATGTAGCCAAGTTATTGCAATGTAATTTGACCATTTCAGCGATCGACATGTATGTTGACGCAAACAAAAACAAACAAACAAATGAAATAGGAACTCCCCAAAATTTAATTTAAAATCCTGAACACTAAAATTGCATCAATGTGATTACAGTTTTTTTTTCTAAACAATACTTTATCACCTTACCAAAACTAATTCCACCAAGCCAATAGCTGCAGAAAACAAGGAAAAGAGAGGAGATGTCAAAATCATTAATTGTATTTAAAGCCCTGCTACACGGTTAAGTGCAAGCATTTAAGAAAAAAAATAACAATCCAAATGCAACCTAAGACACTATGACCAACATGTACATTGTAACAGAATCAAAAAAAGCAATGAATACCTGTTCCGCTATCCCCCCTTGAAAAAGTGGGTCATTCAATTCCCACAGGTAGAAAGGAACCTTCTCTTTTGTCAGAAATAGCGATGACAGAGGTTTGATACAGATGCACATGTATATCATGCATCAGAATCATGCCTCAAATCAGACTACCAAGCACAGGTGAAATAAAGTAGATATGGGTATCAATATTATCCAAGACATACCAAGAATTTCATGCAGTGTAAATAGGCCATTAGCTAATTATATTGAAAGGTGAAATGTACTGTTCAGTAGTTCTACACAGCAATTCCTTGAAATCAGGACTGCTACGAAGAGTATTAAATTAGCTAATAAAAACTATTTTCCTGCATATTTATCACCTGGTTATGGTAAATGCACCTAGATTTATTTTAGTACATGAACATGTAGGCCAGCCGCCTACACTCTCACGTTTCTGGCAATTTGACATTTATTCATTTGATGTTCTTTATAAAATTAATTTCATCTTCTGACCGACTGTACTACATGTATGTGGCCTGAGTTTCTTAACATTGCATGTACATTAGCATGTTGTAGGTCAAAATAAAATTCAGGTTAATATGAAATTCCTTTGTCTCTTAACCCTTTCATGGAACATGAATAATTAGGGCTAGAAGACAAAGGAACTTGACAATCAAACTGGGTTAAAATCATTTTAACCTGAATTTCATTTTGGCCTACAACATATATGCCCTTTTAGCAGCATGAGTCTTATTGCATGAACCAAGATGTGTGATATGGTTTATTACCATACCCATATTCGTAATCAGTCAATCAGAGGCTGTGTTTACTGTCCTGATATCCTGCAATATCAAGTCACTGACCTAATATGACCATGATGTCATGGTCATTTGGCCAAATATAGGTAATATAAATACCTAAACATAATGTTTTTGGTACGCTTCGGCAGCACATCAGGCTTGTTTGGTTGAGATCTTCGGCCATGGGTATTTTCAATACAAACCAATAGGCTCGACCAAACTCACCTGATAAGCTGCCGAAGCATGCCAAAAAGGTACGATTAGGCATAATTAGATTAACGTGATGAGAAGCACGTATATGTCAAGGCACTTGTTTGAAAAATTAATTACTCATACTTACAAGTTATGCTCACTCCTAGCAAAACGTACGTGGAATCCACCTTAGAACCACGATATAATGACAGAATGATGGTAATCTACCAAAGAAAATGAACGTATACATGTATAATTATTACTGGTTAGATACTAAATACAAGTGTTTCAGCCAGAGCGCGCCCTTGGGGGAGTCCCGCGCTGCAATCAGAGATGGCCCCCAGAGAAACGAGGAATGGGCCAATTTGGCCCTTTCCTTTTACAAGAGTCCAGGCTTAACACAGGCATAGTATTTTGAAAGCCATCCCAGGGCTCGAAATTACGACCGATACGGTCCACCAAAAATTCTGGTTTAGTCGCCATAATGGCGACTACATTTCTCTGTGTTGACGATCAATAACGGCTATTTTGTCTCACATTATGTCCTTCTAGAAAATCATATTGAAAGATCTTTGCTTCTAAAACATTCAACATAAGAAAAGATGTCAATCCGTCCTTTTGCTTTGCTGTTATTATTGATTCTCTCACATAGGAAAACTTCCAAGTGGCTGGCCGTGTTTGAAATCGCCCTATAATGCATTGCAAACCCTTGATCACTGACTATGTCATGTATGCCTAGACGGATTATTCTCTTGTAATGCACGGATCCTTCATACTAGTATCTGAGTCAAAAGAAACTTTATTGAGTAGAAACACTTCAAAAAGCACTTATTAAATTTTATCATAGATCCTAATAAACTGCTTTATTTTCCTTGGTACCCTGATGNATACTGGGGTATAATCAAATGATTTTTAGCGCAATTTGAAATCAGTAAACACAGGTAAATTTTTTTTGCACAAGTCCATAGGGTGAGAGTATTTTGTATCTATACATGTGCATTATACAATGTAGTCTTTGAAAAACTTTATGAATGTTTATTTATTCTATATTACACAGGAAAAATCATTTAATTACTTGTCAATAATAATACTATATTATACATGCAATTTATTTTCAACATTCTGTTCTCAATTTCAGCTTCCTGTTCTCAATTTCAACTTTCTGCACTGTTTGGGACTAATTTATGAATTACTGGTAGGTATCTACTTCTTACATGTCATGTATGTGGCATCATTTAATAATTGTAAAGCTGGCATACAGCTGGCAAGGGATATTCCTTGTAATTGATCGGGATTTCAAAGTACAGTGATCAATTTCGGTGGATTCTTCCTATAAACTTTGTTGTTATCTGACTCAATTTCAAAGAGAGATCTTAACTTGGAATGGAATTAGCATCAAACTTAACTAATTATACGATCACAGGACCATTTTCAATTTGAAAGTTTACATCTTGATGTACACGAGAGATTTGAGAGCTTTGCAAACTTTGTTATCAACTCATCAGGCTTATAGCTTCCACTCAATGGATCTCAGCAGATCGCAGCCCTTGCACACGCTGACATGCATGCTCACGCACCCTCACACTGTGCATAGGGATACAGTATACATGTTACTTCAAAAATCTACAGTAAGTAACTCACCTCTTTAGGACTTTTTCCTATCTCATGGAAAGGAGCTTCATCGTATTCATTAGGAGGAGTGTATGGCCGAGTGTAGGCCTCCCTTCCATCGAGAAGCCCTTTCCTGTCATTCTCTTCCGCCATGTTGAATTTTGCCAATCACGAAACCTTTTCCCGAACATAGCCGAACACTTCCGAATACTCTCGAGTACCTCTCACATGATACGGATCGATCAAGCTGATTTCCAAAATGGTTCCGAACGAGACAGCTCCGCTGTATCACGAAGTTTCTCCTTTGACGGTAGGAAACCTAAATTTAGAAGTCACGAAAATACATTTTTTAGTTTTGTTTAGATCTTTTCTTTCGAGATTTTGCTGTTGACAGGTAACAATGGCGCAGCTGAATGGAGATCACAGGAGGGAAATATGACAAATGTCGCAAATGTACTGCGCTCGCTATTTCCTTGATCGTATAAAGCTTCTTCCTGGATGCGTATAGTAATCTATTCTTTCTCCATTGTTCCCTTGCTGATGTACTAAGTTTAAGTTACGATCGGTGCCTTTAAAAGTAGATTGCAAGCGAGTATTTCATTTTCTGGGTTGATCTATTCGGCATGAAACCTGGTGAAACCCAACTTTGTTTTGGCGAGGACAGGGGAGGTGGTAGGGGAGGGAGCATGGGTGGGTTAGGAACCCCGTGTCGCTTGCTGTAGTCTCTATCCTACTGAAAGTGCTTATGCGCTATTAAGATATTTGATGTGAAGTGTCCGTGCGTGCATATTACAATACCTACATTACCATACAATGTACCAACAAAATTTACAAAATTAAATAATGGCAATATAAAACTTAATTAATGGAAGAAAGCAATACTCAACAGGGCCGTACCTACAATTTTTTGTCTGTGGGGGCAAACTCCACTCACCTTCAGCGGGTTCTCCTATATACAGGCAGGGTTTCTAGTTAAACGTTTGTTTTCACTCCTACACAGAAGGTTGCCTCTAAGACTATGTTAGGAAAAAAAACAACAGCAAAAAAAATTATTTCCCTCCTCTCCTGCCCTCCCACTATGTACGGCCCTGCTCAATTAAGAGACTTTTTCTGGCATTACTTACAAGCAGGGTTCATGCTATTATTGTCGCTGCATACTTCATTCCTTGTAAAGGAAAACAAAATTAAATATGTTGTTCACTGTACTGACATGTACATAATTATAGAAAAGTGCAGAACTTTCAATGTAGTTTTCAAAAATGTAGTCACATCTTGTAGTAGCCAAGATTTTAACCTGGTGTGATCAATGAATTGTCTTTTAGATAATGTACCAGCCAGGTCATGGCTAATTTATTGTTTTTAAATTACACTGTTAGCAGTTTGGACTCCAGAATGAGAATGTACAGAGGTACAACTCACTGAGCTCATAATGTTATGTCGTATTTTCTTTACAGAGGTTGATGTTAAGAGCTTTTGCAGGAGCCACAGGACTGGTTGTATTTGTATGTACAATTATATCATTCTATAGTGATCGAGATTTACTTTATAAAAAATGGACAATGTATGTACATGTACATATCTTTTGTATAAACTTGTATCTTTATCAGCTTCTGAAAACTGTTTCAGTTAACGACCCCTCGCTAAGTCAATCATCACTTTCAACCCTAGTAAAGCAATAAATAACACAGCAATTAAACCGTATGCATGGACTCCATCATTTGTAGCCTTTTGAATCCTGCCCTGTGTATGTACATGTAGCTAATCTCCATTGGCTCCTTTTCATCTGTTCTCTGTCTTCTCTTCTTTGGCTAAATCGTGGCTGCTTTTGATGGCATAGTCATTCCTGAGGCCTTCTTAGCAATTATGGACAAACAATCTGATGGTATGCTTCTTCATTTCCATGACAACACTGGAACAGCTTTTATTAAAATATAAAATTTAGTGGTGTACTGGGTGGTAGGAATGTTATTCCACATGTGAAGATATTGTTTTTATCCACATGTGTAATATCCTTTTTGAAATCATTTTTGACCCTTTAACTGTATGTAACTTTGTTAGTGTGTTATGATCGAAGACTCGTCAGATAATCCTCGGAAGTCTTCAATAATCTTTGACTATCTTTACCTATCTTCAGAAATCTTCGGTAATCTTCGGAAATTTTTCGAAAATGTTGGGAAACATTTTTGTGGCCCTCAGACAAATTTTTGAGAATCCTCGGAAATCTTTGAAAAGTGGTCGGAAATCTTCAGAAAATCGTCAAAAATTAATGGTAGTAGTATGTGTATTGTGTTATTTATATAATAAAAAGAATTCAAAATAATTACATATTAGTCACTTCAAGATGCAAAATTTCTTGTCTCATGTTGAAAATATTTCACGAGTGAGCATAGCGAACGAGTGAAATATTTTTCGACAATCGAAGGGACAATTATTCAATTGTTTCTACGCTCAGCCATGTAATGTCCTATGTGTCTTGTTATATATTCATTGTGTACTTGAAAGTGTCTGTTTGATTTCTTACTGGGCCAGAAGAAACTCCAGATTTTCCATAGATACATGTATCACTTAATCAGTTATACAGCTGTAAACTGTTCATTTTATTAGCACATGGCAAGGATGTGATGTCCTCTGATTGTAGGTTAACATATTTTAATTTTTTTCATTTCTTCTTTGTTTTTTTGTTTTCCTTCTTTCTTCACTTTCCTTTCATTTTCATTTTCCTTTCTTTTTCTTTTCTCTGTTTTCCTTTTCTCTCTCTCTTTTTTTAGTCTTTGCTTAACTGTTTTCTTTTAATTTATTTTATTTTCTTTTGTTTCCGTTTCTTTTATTTTCTCTGGTCCAGGTTGCAAGCCAGAATTAGTTTCATTGTCTTTCAAAGTGACTGTCATATTTGAAATTATTTGCCTGCCCACCATTGTGTTATGAAATCAACAGGTACACTGTACTAGGTTGTGAGAGGTTTCCAGGTTTAAATATCTGTGCTAACATTCATTATATTTTAAATCTATAAACAGATTACACTGATTTTGAGCTTTGTCAAAGCAGCAGAAGACTCCATGATGTATCTTATAGCTGTCAACATGTTAAGTGAGTAACCAGGTTAATCTTTGCCCCTTTGCCTGGTTCACACTAACTTCGACTGAGACAAGATTCAATAACACCAGTGAAATAAAGCATAAGCATAAGCGCAAGAAAAAAGGAGTGTTTCAATCTCTTTCTTGCACTGTGCTTGTGCTTATTTCACTAGAACTGAAGTGATATGTTTATCTTACAAGTGTGAACCAAAATTTAGTCTCCTTTGTGTGATTTGCCAGGTTTTTGTTTCTAATATTGCTTTTCTGCTCTATTTGCATCCTTAGCGTTACAATGTATTTTCATAAATAAGAAATGAGAACACTTTTTATACACCTTTTAGTGTACATAAGAAGATCGTTCCTGAAATTGTTTAAGGCACTAACTTGCAGTGCACTTTATTCTGTTTCCTGAGACTCGATTTTTATGGGTTTTGACAATGAATATTTCATTTCTTATTGTTCTTTCAGTTAGCAGTGTAATTGGGGGAGTCATTGTAAGTGCATTTACTTTTATTAATTAGTGCAAGTACATTATGCATGTATATTTATGACAATATTTTTATAAGTAAGTGAATTACCCGTTGTATTGTGGGTGAACTAAACATACAATTTTTAAGATTTTGTTTTTCTTTTCATAAGTGTTGCAACTGTGGCTATCTGCAGCTGACGAAATCCATAGATTGAAAGATTTTTTTTTAATGAGCATGGCCAGACTTACAGTAGACTATGTAATATTTAATACCTTTTTTTTTACATCTTGAATCTAACACAATAACTGTTAGACTGCTGCTCAATATGGAACAGCTTTTTTTTTTGTCTGAAATCAAATTTAATAGATGTATTTCCTTACCTGATAATCAAATGGTGGCACAATATCTGAATGCTGTCATACAGTCTACTTTAGCTGAAGTGGAAGCATCTACATGTAATTCCATCTAGATAATATTTTCGCAATTGCAATTATTTTTGATGATATCTTGCCTGACCTGCCTTTTTTGTTTCTCTAGACATGGTGGTATCACAAAGGCACCATAGTAAGTAAACCATAATATTTTGTTTCATTTGGCATAAGTACCATTAATATTTTTATTAAGTTCTATCATGTAATGCCATACAAAGCCCAAAGTGGTTGAAATGTGTACACATTCCAATCAGTATCACTCTGTGATCCTCCATTACACGTAAGTCTAGTAAAGTCTAGTCTAACAAAAAGTGATGTGAAAGGTATAGTCGGCATACCAGCCAAGTGGCCCATCAAGCTGGAGCTTATCCTGGTTTTAGTAGTGTGAAGCGACTAGGAGTATTTCTACTCCCCCCAAGATGGAATGCTAGTCCATCGCAGGGTTGCCCCCAGCATTAAGTTCGCTGGTACCCATTTATACACCTGGGTGGAGAGAGACACTCTGAGAGTAAAGTGTCTTCCCAAGAACACAACACAATGTCCCCAGCTAGGGCTCGAACCCGGACTGCTCGATCCGGAGACGATTGCACTAACCATGAGGCCACTGTGCCCTCACTAGTAAAAAGAAGATGATATTAGTGAAGACTGGCAAAGTTGCCACATCAACCCTTTTCATGCACACACAAGGACGTCTAGACATGAACATTTTCTTATTGTGAGACTTGATTCCGACACCCCTTGTTCGTTGATCATGCGCAGTGACAATTATGGAGTCTCTAATTTGGAGAGGGTTGTGAGTTTTGTTATTAAGATGCTCTTTTGCTCTGTGAGAGACAGGTAACAGGAACAGCTCACGTGCATTTTTTCCCGTTTCAGGAAGCCAAGAAAATAGCATTTATGGTATTTGTGGGCGTTTGCATTGTTTTCCAAGCCATCATCTCTGATGTCTATGTTTATAACAAGAAGACCGTCATTGTGTCGCCTACAGTATTAACGCCCACACCAACCACTCCGATAAACGCCAGCAGTATAGCCCCATAATGATCATAAGATCAGAGAAATACGAAAAACCAGAGAATAGTATTGCATGTATGCTGAGATATCAACCGTCGTTGATCAAACGTATGACAACTATTGGAGTATACAACCGATGAAAAGACTGGAAAGCCTCTGAATATTCAGTGATATCCCACGAGTCCTGCAGCGATATTTTACGGATAATTTACAATGTGTGTGCATTAGGACGAGAGAAAAATAATAATTATACGAAAAATTTTCGGGGGCCAGGTCACAGTATTTTAGGTAATTCTCTTTTTTTTTTTTTTTTTTTNCCAGTGGTGGCCCAGACACAACTGGTGGCCCAGACACAACCCCATTTCAATGAACGATGATTTTCGTGTATTATAACCTGGCAAATTGACGTAAACTTGAAACAAAGTCGGATCGTTGTTTTTCAAGTTTTACTCTTATCTGTTTTAATCTTCCCCAACTTTGCCCATCCATGCCCCCTTTTGGCCTTTCTCTGTTTCTTCTGAGTTTTAACCCGTTATGTGTTATTTCAGTTAATTCTATGACCTGTTAGACAGAGGTGAAATTGTGTTAAGTTGGATGTCCTAGCCCTTTAATCGGGAGAGAAATATTTTGTTCGTGATTTGATTGTTCCTGGTATGAGCTTGGTATGATTCATAATCATTGAGCAAAATACTCTCGGGTTTTCTCTTGAGCAACTCTTAATTTAGCGTATTACGCTGCGTAACCTTAAGACACTGACAAACACATTTTAAATCAAGTTTAGATTAAGGACGCTTGCGTAGTCACTGTCTACCCTTCACAGCGGCACATACCTGTATAGCCCATATATGGCAGTGCCCCCTCCCCCCCTCCCGGGTCTGCGATGAGGAAAGTTACATTCAGACTAAAGGTAACCGTTTAGCCATTTACTAAGATTGATAAACAGAGGTAATAATAAACCAAGTGGAAACAAGGCTGGTATTGTAAAAGAAAATTGCAAGGATTGCAGGTGAAGAACTTAACAAATGAACTAAGCACGTCTTGGTCTGTCTCCACTGGCGTAACACCAGAACGAGAAACTTTGAATCTTCTCTTCCTACCGATAAATCAGTTGTTCAGTCGGTCTGAAATCAGCCATTCATTAGTGCGAGTAGACTTTTAGAATGGACCTTTTCGGCGATACGGCGATCATTTTGAATTCTATTGTTTCTAATAGCTATTACACTATGGGATACCCAGGGGCTAATATCCCTTTTCACGCTTAACTTTACTAATTTGCATTACAACATGATCTGATGATCTAGCATGCATGTGGGGCAATTTCGGGCTATTTCGTAGTTTCAGCCCGAAATTGCTTCGGATTAACGAAAGGGCTATTAGTATTTAGTATCATCCAAATAGTGGACTAATGCAAATCCTGCATTTTAATTGGCTACGCTACTAGAAGACTATTAGTAATAGTCCTCGAATAGCGAAATTGGCGCGGGTCAATAGCCCATTCGGCTTCGCCCCATTGGCTATTGACCCGCAGCCCTTGCGGGCTACGGGTCTAATTGTTAAGTATTTGTCCCCTAAGCATCCCATAATAATTCTATCGCCGGAAAGGTCCATTGCGTTCCTAGCCTGCGAAGCAAGCGTTTCCATACGAAGAGCTTTTCCGCATTCTGGCCGCGCGTAAATTGAAGCGAGAGCAAAAAATTGACGAAGCAGTGGGTGGTGCCCGGCTATTGCGTACCTGGAGCTCTCTTAATCTATATACCACTTGAATAGGAAGCTCGGTATAAAATTTTTCCCAAATATATATTAAATGTGATGTAGAGCGCATTTGTTTTCTTGGTTTGAGAACTCGGAAGTGCTCAGTGGCGATCTTCCACCCGATGTAACCCCGCCCCCACCTCCCACTCCGCAAACTAACTCTATCAACAAAACACACAAAAATGGGCCGAAAAGACTCAAATTTTGTCATTAAATGGAAGCAAGAGACCGCCATAAGTTTTTTGCGGGAAAATTTGATCTGACAATCACGTTTCCATATTTGGAAATTCAGCAGAGAAGGCAACGCATTGTAAAGTTTTTAAGGGTGGACCCTTTGAATGTGGAGGGGTGGGGTGGGTTATTTTGAAAATTGTACCCTCCCCCCCCAAAAAAAAGATAAATAAATAAATAAATAAGTAAATAAATAAATAAAAAGTAAAATTAAAAGAAAAACATGAAAACATGCACACAATCACAGCCGGAAAAAAAAAATTACGTACGTTTGGGTAGCCGAAAAAAAGCTTGTTACTAGGAGAATCATACCTACACATGTCACGAGAAAAGAATTTCCTAGAACATGAATGGGTCAAACAATTCGTGGCTGTTCCAAATCACTCACACCCTCTCTCAGAAGTCAAATGGTCCACCCCTTAACGTGCGATGACTGGAGATGTAAGGAACATGTCAACCTATTATGTCGCGCCCGCTAGATTCGGAAAAAACACCAAGTGTGCCAGCGTACTTTCCGGCTTTTTGTGTCTGCGCAAGACGAACCCCTCCATTTTATCATTAGACGAAGTAAAGCTTGGCTGGTAGTTTAAATCTTTAGACTAAATTAAAGAAGTGTCAGAACTGATTCGCAAAAGGTGAATAATTGAAAATTGAAATTCTAGCTTGACAAATTGGCAAAAAGTACCATAATCTAAACTGAGTGACGGCAGCATGCCGTTGTTGAGATGCTGACCACTCAGTTGTTCAGCGGAACAGGTAACAAGAAGTTCTCTCATCATGTTTTTTTTCGGAGARTTTTACTTTTATTCCTCTTTGCTCTTTTCTTTTCAGCCTCTTATTTCTGCTTTAACTTTAAGGAACTCAGAAAGCCAAACCAACCCAGTGTCAACGGAACTGAATACTTATTAAAACTCGGAATGATCCCAGGACGTGGGTGCTCATCATAACTTTTAGGGATTAAAAAAAGCGGGTTTGGTGCTTTTTGGGGTGTTCAGCCTCGAAACACTCAAAAAGTCCACAGCGGAACCCTTCACGGTACCGTTTAGGGTATTGAGCCGAAAAAAAGTATGACAGGAAATATTTGACTATCAGCTTTATAGTCTGTGTCACATGCACAGCCGCCCCTCTCCGATTTGTTCTTTCGGAGAGGGTGGCTGTACCACGGACTATCAACTTTACGAGTAGAAGGTATTCGAAGCCATCGCCTTTATCACTATTAAAAATTATGAATGTGTTGTGTTAAAATTGGTACCTCTCAGTGCTTAGAGGTGAAAAAATTACGAGCCACGCCCACAAAACAGGATCTTGGTACCTGTGAGGGGTTCTTTTCAAAGTTTTCGATGAGCACCCTTTGTCTCAAGATCCCTTTGTTCCACTTGAACACAAACCAAAACAAACTAACAGTGTTAAGAGAAATAAATCATGACCAACAAAGAAAAGTCAGTGGGAGCTATAATTCGGTGTTAGAGTGGGATATTTTATGAATGCAAGTGAAGTTAAGGATTCACACTTCGAGCGCCCAACCTATATTTGGCGGCCAGCGGCCAATTTAATCAACGTCAGGGAAAAAAATGTCAGCTATACACTATAATAAAAACCTCTACTCAACGACCACCACTATTAAGCGGCCGCGGCCAGCCTCTTGCCGTCTTGTTTTGTTTTACACCTCTATTAAACGGCCAGGAAGATTTGAAGTTGGACGCCTTTTAACCAGGTGAAGGTAACATGGAAACGTTATTGTTTCTTTGGCTTTTGTTAACGTTATGTACCACATTATAACCATCATTGTTCTACTTTTTCTCCACTTGCATTTGTTTGTACTTATATTCGATAAATTGAAAACTGGACCACACCCAACGTTGTTTTCTGGTGAACCTCTAGCTCGCTTTATAGAGGTTCGACTGTATTAAAATTCAACCTTAAACAATAGACCTCAGCGAGAGGCTCCTTGGAATAACCACAGAGTTTGTGGGGTTTACTCCCCAGAGCCTTTTGCTGAGGTCTATTGTTTTAGGCTGAATTTTAATATGTCGAATTTGGTATATTGCGCGAGCTTTCTTACGATTACTCACTTTAATTATATGACTTATACAAATAGGAACGCGCACACGTGCACTATGGTGCAAGTTAGGTTAGATAAAAAAAGATAACCACCGGCGCAAAACGCACAGTAAAACTGAGAGCTACTGCACAGCTGTAAATGATTAAACTGTAGAATACCCCGCCACATCGAGTGCGTTAGTGAAAAGGGCTGGCTACGCAGTACGCGGTACGCGGAAATAAAAAATTCAAGATGGCGTGGTATCTTAAGTAGCTGGCTACGTGGGGAAAATAAATTCAAGATGACAGTGTATCTTAAATAGCTGGCGACGCGTTACACGTTACGCGGGAATAATAAATTCAAGATGGCGCGGTATCTTAAGTGGAATTACTTTATAGGCTTTGACGCTTAAAGAACCAGGAATGCACAATACTCTGTCTTTGTTATCA